CCTCCTCAACGTCGTCGTTTTTGGCGTTTCGCATTCGCTTGTCGAAGGAATGAATCTCCCTCAAAACATTTTCTGTATACGTACTAAAATGTTTTCCGGTGTGGAACTCTGCGAAGTGGATATCATTGTCTGTATTCCACTAGAGCAGCCCTTCTTTTTTCCACTGCAGAAACAGTATACGAAAACGTATTCATCTTTCAGACCGCACTGGAAGAAAAGACAGTCCCACTAGCCTCGACAGGGTAAAGACAGGAACTACATAAATTCATAGCAGTTCAACCTCGCTCCAGTATCATAACTCGATAGTGATGTCATATCCTCCGATACTTTATTGGATATTCTTGTTCCAAGTGACATATAGTACAACCTCATGAAGTCTGCTCGATACATCGCGTAACCTCCTGTAGATAAGAAATGGATAAAAGGTATGAGAGAAAATTGTATGAATTATTATCCTCAAAACGTGACATTATGAATAAGGTCGGGAATGATAGTAACAAATTAGAATTACATTTATGAAAAAAACTTTAGCGCAGATTAAATTAGGGAATGATTGTTGCAGTTCAGTCAGGAATCTTTTGTCTTCTCGTCCCTTATTTAATAACCAAAAGATTAATATGCACAAAACTATCATTTTCCTGCTGTTTTATGAGGATGAGAAACTTGTTATATTCACATTATGGGGGAAAATACAGATTAAGTTTTTTCCTAATAAAAAGGGGGATTGAAGAAAATATTTGGAACTGACAGCGAATAAATTAAAGGAGGTCTAAGGCAACGGAGAAATGATTTTCATAATTTTTCTTTAGTAAATATTATTGTGGGTGTAAAATCAAGGATATTTAGCTTGGCTCTATAAGTAGCAGGTACACGGGGGAGGAGAAATTCATGCAATATTTTCAGCCCATAACCTGAAAGCAGGAGAATATTTGGGTACGCATGCATCAATGAGAATATAATATTAAAATGGATCTTAAAATTAGGGCTTAAAGATGGAGGCTGCATTCAAGGGTCTCAGAATAGAGGTCAGTCTCTGCGTCCAATCTCAGGAAGGAATATTTTCCACAGTGGTACTTACATCCTTACATTCAGGATAAGACGGGATCAACAAACCTAATGAACATATTAGTTTAGAGCCGATAGGGCAGAGTTGAAACAAAACTCGTCATATATAAAATTAAGTCTCTGTTAGGCAGGGCAGAAGGAGAATGTTGCGATCACACTGGCCGCGCCGTCTGAGGCATGAACTGTTTTCACCCGCTCGAACGTTGGAATCGTGGGTTCGAATACCACTCAAGGCATGGATGTCTGTTTGCGTTTCTTCTGTGTTTGTGCTGTCCTATGTGTAGGTAGCGGTATTGTGAATGCATATATTATATTGGTGGGAAACGTAGAAGGACAGAGACCAATGGGAAGAACAAGGCGTAGGTAGGTGGACAATATTAAAATGGATCTTAGAGAGATAGGATGGGATGGTATGGATTGGACTGATCTGGGTTAGGATAGGGACCAGTGGAGGGCTCTTGTGAACACGGTAATGAACCTCCGGGTTCCATAAAATGCTGGGAAATTCTTGAGTAGCTGGAAAATTGGCGGCTCCTCAAGAAGGGCTCATCTCCATGAATAACTAAGTAAGTAATTATTATCTTCTCAGATAAGGTGAAATGACGTTTTGGCGGAACTTGTCGCTTCCATCTTCATGGTCCGAGAATGAGCCAAGCAAGAAATGAGCATGGTGTGGTTAGCAAGCAATGCTTACTGAATTCAGAGAGATCGCGCCGGCGTTAACATACAAACTTATACGTGAACATACGTGAACATTGAGAGTTTAAACCTTGACGCATAAGACGAATGTTACTGCTCGTACAACGAAACAATCTTGAGAATTAAATTAGCCACCTTCATTCGAATATTACGGAAGAGAAGCAGGGAAACGTTTTTAGGTACTGTCGCGTTTATAGGGCAAGATGATATACACGTATGTTCTCACATACAAACGTGAAATGTTCTGAACTCTGCAACCGACTTATGAGACGGTTATTCATGTCTGTTACGTACTGCACAACCTGAGCCATTTTCTCAAACAGACGCCCTTCATTCAATAAAGCCAGGTCTAATTTTGCATTGAAGTTTCGATACTGTGTTATTAGTTTGTTCTGAGACTGACGGTCCCTTGCTTTCGCGCGCGCGCCAAACACAAACATAAAACAAACACAGTGTTCTTAGTTGAAGAGAAATGCCACATTCTCGTGGCAAAGCATGTGAACTTGCTTTGTTTCAAATATATCAGGCGGTACTGTTGAGACAACACAAAACTACATGTACGAAGTAAATAATTCTACTCTCGTAATTTACGGATCATTGTGACTATGTGATTTTCACTCTGAGAACGTTAAATTTTGAACTAAACTGAAAATTTCACACCGTTGTCATCTGGTAGCTGTTAAGAGAAAGCGATTCCTTTACATAAAGCGTACTGATATTTGTAATGCACAAGTATATATATAGCGAACTTCACATATCTGCTTCCAAATTTCATTAGCTGTCGGGATGAAATACACGACTAATTAAAGATTTCGTGTCACCGCCATTTTTACAGTTTGCTTCCCAAATATGGCACGACTTGTAATAAAAAGTATATTCGCCGAAGAATTATTTCACACAAGAATCTGTGTGAAACATCAGTACAACGCTTAGTTCAATCCAGTGACAATTTTCCATACTATGAAACTACATACGATTTCCTATTTGGCTAGAATATATGGAATCTAACAAATCTAGTATGTAGTAACTTTTGTATTTAAAAAATTACGAATATTAAGACATAACAAAAATTAAAGGTTATGTCTGTTCTCTACTAATAAAAGGTAAATATAGTCCTGTAATAGATCGTGAAGGCCCATAGGGTTGTGAGAGATCGAGACTCCAACATTATCTAGACCAAGGGTCTCCAAACTACGGCCCGCGGGCCACATCCGGCCCGCGATGTGATTTTACCCGGCCCGCGAAAGAATTGTGCAGAAATGCGCCAACTGAACTAATTTTCCCA